GATAAAATTTGGATTAAGGAATAATATTCAGATATTTTGACTTTGTTTAACAATGACAGCTGCATGTAGTACTAAATATTTGAAAAAAATATCTGTTAACGTAACGTTGACTCACATTCGTCTGGTTCTGGAAGGTTGACGTGTTCCTGAAAAGGTTATAAATGTACAGATAAGGTACAGTAAAGAGAGCTATTTACAAAATTTACAACAATATTCATCGTATTGTGATTATGCAGTTGAACGGGTCGCCCAAAAAGATTAATATGCACTCCCAGTTAAACGTCCAGGGACGGCCTTAAAGTATTTGCAAGGTTTGTGGTATAGTTACGGGTGTATTATATATAAATCCATAATGCTGTATATAATTTTTAGTTAATTGATTTTTGGTTTTGTATAAGTTGTCAGAAAATGTTGCTGTTAAAACAGAACAAAAACGTGTTGTTCGTAGGTTCTTTACATAAATGATGCCACTTTATATGTTTTACCTGCACGTTTGAACTGATAACACCACTTTCACTGGATGGAGATTCTGCATTTTGTTCATGTTGCATTATTGCATCACACAAGGTATTTAAACCGGGAGATTGCGCTGATGGGAGTTGAGGGAGAGTGGACGAAGTTAAGGATGAAGGCACGGTTGAATTAGGGATCAAGACAGGATTCTCTGAAGCAAGGACCATAGCTTCGCCCAGCGCTCTCCACTGTGAATCGAGATCATTGTCAGCAACGGTTTGATTAAAAGACTGTGTGCCTGGCATAGATTGCAAAAAATTTACGTTATGAACTCCAGTTGATCTTGAAAACTGCCCTTGCGGTGTCATCGACACAGAACCAAGTGATTCTAACTGGCCCGGATTTACAAAATTACCAGGAATTTGAATCGCTGGGATTGCTGTATTTCCAGCATTGAAAGCTGTTGATATTGGTAAATGTCTTTGGGCTAAAACATTATTAGAATCTTGATCTGGCTGACTTGGCCCAACCATAGAAATAACAGATGGCGATAAAAATTGGCTTTGTGATGGAATATTTACAGACTTTTGCAGGAATGGTGATGTTTGTAACGGCCTCTGCACCGGAATGGCACCTCGATATTGCGGTGTAGGTGCAAGACCAACCTGCGGAACAATCGACATGGATATTGGCCTTTGTGTTAACTGTTGACGGTTGACGGGTTGGTTTGATTCGTGCTTCGAGATATTTGATGTTGGTAAACGACTTTGGGAACTTGTAAGTCCAGGTGTTGTGGGAGAAACAACAGATAATGGTGGACCAAGCGTTGTGACGTTCACCGAACTGTTGTTATCCAGTGGCGTTACAGTTGACGAAGTAATGGAGGAAGTAATGGTGGATGAAGATAATTGGCTTTGTGTTGATTTGCTGCCAGATTGGCTTGATTCGGTTTGACCTGTTGGCATGGTAACAGCTGAGGTAACGACGTCTGCTGTGGTGAGGGTTGACGTAGGTTTTGGTAAGATTGGTACAAAAAATTGCTGGCCACCACCAACCATACCACGCAGTCTTTTTGTGCGAGATATTCCATGGGTACAGGGGGATATCTAAAAAATGTTGGTGTGTTGAGTAAAACACAGTGCATGAGTGTGTCAAATTTGGAACAGGGCTAATTCTCATGGTGAACGGCAACCTCGTACCCAGGGTCTTTTACCTACGCTCCACGTGGGCCGTTGGGTTAACTGTAATTGTGAAGATCGTTCATGCGTTAAACGATAAAAAGTTTATGAAGAACAAGCTTTGGTAATAAAAGTAAACAAACCTATTGAGAATAATAATGCCAAGTGTAGTTCGTGTTGCAAGAAGCTACCTATCAGCTCGCTACAATATAAAAAAGCAGGAGCATCGTCTAGTACTACTTCACCTCGTTCTCAGCAATAATTCTCATATAAAGCCTTCCTTGTCCACGTTCACTGTTGTAAACATTTTCTGGAGTGTAGCATCTGAAACAGCACAATCCAGGATTCAGTTCTTCTAATGTGTTGGTTTTGTTCGCTTTCATGAACACAAAAAAGGCATTTTCCAATTTGGGATAAATTTCAATCAATTTCTGTTTGAACTGTTCATTTGTCAAGTCCAGCGTAAAGTCCACCTTGTCATCTTTTATACAATGTTCTATATTAAAATACAACGAGATCAAGGTATAGATAAATAAAGTATAATGCAAGGGGGAAAAATAGATTAAGTGGAATGAACCAGGTTGTCTATACTTGTAGTTCACACCTAAAAGTTTGCAATCGCTTTAAAACATATAAATACCCGAAATAAGTCAAGATAGAAAATATTCAAGATACACGAACTATTCTAAATAAGAATTTGCTCCGATAACAACACACCATGCAGGCTATGTGGAGTTTTCTCCTACAGTTAATCCTAGTTTTGTTTTTAATCAAATCTTGAATTTCAATTAAGAAATCAGTCTGGCTAATATTCTGTAGGACTCCAAATAATCCCCGAGCCGGCGCGAAGCGCCGTGCGAGGGTACTAATTCCGCTGGGAGATTTATTACACCCGGGTATTGTGACAGAACATAGCGGAATCCAAAGTTGCTCAAATTCTATGTCGTGGACCGTGGACCGTGGACGTTCAATGGTCATGGTAATTGTGCGCATGTGCGAAATGTAAGCGAGTAAAGTACTGGTAATTAGTAACTCGCTGATTGGCTAAGACAGAAAGTTTGTATTTCAATGAGAACGTCAGCAATTTAACTGTCATTTCGTAAACATTTTTGTAAAAGTGTTTCATAAACTTTGTGCAAAGAAAGTAAAACGAGAAGAAACAAGATATATGAAGCATGACAGATAGCAAAGATGAACGGGATACAGTAAAAAAAAAGCCGTGTAAGAGGAATAATTCATAATCTGCAAGCTTATAAATGTTTTCAAAGACAAAGGGTACGTGTTTACTTTGTTTATTTCGTATTTGTTTCGCGGTAAGAATGAGCCGTATTTGTATACTTTTCAGCTTTGTATGCCGTTTATTTGTTAAATTTTCAGCTTTTTATGCAAACACCTAAACCTGTGAAAGGCTATTACACCTTTGCTTTAACTTCAAAAAGTGTTTTTCAAAGTGTAATTTGAATTTTGGTATCAAAAATACACACTATATTTATAAAGTATACTGAAACTTTTAGCCGTCGGCGTCGACTGCAAGTTTTTTCTTTGTCTGTGAAGATTTTGTACTGTTTTAATCGTTTGAAACTTCGATTTTAAACCGTTACTTAATTGCTGGCAAGGTATAATGCAGCAAAATTAAGCGGGCAATATTTACACTAGCTTTATGATTATTTTTGTATTGAATGATGGAAACATTAGCTATAATATACTCGGTATATAAAATATAATAAGACTGATTTGAGTTTTGTGTCATTTCATAATATAAGTTTAGGTCAGGTTAACTCAGGAAATTGTGTACTTGGTTTGAAATAGCGAGGGGTTGCTGCATGCATGTATTTCTAGTAACATAATATCCTGCACCTTTTGGAGGTGGTCCATATCCTCTTTGCATCAAGGCTTCTATCCCAGTCTTTGAACAAGTGTCTTTTGTGACTTTAGTGATCGCGGTGTCTGGATCAAGCAGAAATAACCTGACAGAAAGTTTGTTTGCAGGTCGTCCTCTCTTTTTTGTGTTTGGTTCACGATAATTATTGTTGGCCATATTTTTTTTTGAACTTACACGTGAGAAGAGTGCATCTATTCTTTAACGGTTGTGAAACAGCCTTAAAAAGAAATAAAACTACCGATTATAAAAACTATTGAATCAGACCCTATTGGCTATTCTATGAGATATTGGATCAGACCCTATTCTATATCAGATCCTATTCTATAAGGTATTGAGTCAGATACTGTTTTATAAGGTATTGGATCAGATCGGAATCGATGAAACTTTGCTATAACACTCAATTGATAGCGCTTGAGTCCGATATAATCGTCGAATCCTGTGCTGTGCAGACCAGTGGCGTAGCCAGCCTGACGATTTAGTCATGCTATGCAAATTTTATGTTATTATCATTATTCATTTCTTAAGAAACTCATTGTTTTCACAGTCAATGATCACCAAAATATTAGCATAGCATGACTAAATTGTCGGGCTGGCTACACCACTGGTGCAGACTATCACTAACACAACCACGTAAGGTTTTCTACCTGCGCTTCTCACTAACATTTCGACATCAATGATAATTGTGAAATCTTCCATGGCGCTAATTCAATATTGAATTCGATCAGATTTGCCGGTTTATATTACGCTCGAGAAAACGAATTGTTTGTTGTTGATCGCGTCGCGTAGCGACAGCGATCTATAGTTTCGGCTTGGTTTTTTTTTTTTTGATCGCGTCGCGTAGCGACAGCGATCTATCGTTTCGGCTTGGTTTTTTTTTTTATTTTCCTCTCGGGTCGACCCCCAGCGTCGCTAGCTGCGGGCCATATCACCCTAATCGGGAACCTGCGCACAGGTAAGTTGCTAGTTATATCACGTGTTGTATTCACTTTGGGCATATTTCGTTTCACCTTCGAACTTCGAAGCAGTAAAGTAGAGTCAATAAAGCGATCAAAATGCTAGCAAGTGTTATCTTTATCTTTACACTCATTACACATATAACTAACTGCACACGCCGAGCAGAGTAAGCCTGCACTAAAGGATTTCAAGCAGTTTCGAAATGGGCTGTTTTGTGTTTCTCCTGCTTTCAACATGCGACTATAGTTCGGTATATTGTTCATTTTTATTATTAAGAACATTTACGACACAAAATTTGCATAGCTGGGCTGGCTACGCCGCTGTGAACGACGCGATCATATAACGCCTAGTAGGCGTCTTGTTTAAATTGTCGTGACAGTCGGGCGATATATATTCTTATATTACAAGTCTAAGAATGTATATATGTAAAAATGCAGTTTGGTAGCAGGAGAGGAAACTAGAAATCTAGCGATGTAGTATTGATTAAAAGAATCTTGTATAAAATTTCATATTCCTTACGGTAAAGAACATACCTTGCGACTTTCACTGTGAAATGTGAAAATATCTCAAAACGACGACACGACGTCAGCTTACTCGAGCTTGGCACAGCCACGAAGTGTAATTTGAAGCAACCCATTTCCCAATATATGATCATACTGGGGGGCTGTAGCATCTGTGATTGGTTACATTCTGTTCCGTGTGTCAACCCCAAAAATACGCTTACTAAGCGTTATATAATACTATAGAGCTTTAGGCTTAGTGTTATTTTTGTCAATTTATGACATAACTCATAAACAAATCAGTTTCAAACAGCACTGATATTCACAACCTGGGGTACACAATCACATTTGAATCTGTTACATAACATGTATGTTACAGTATATGGTTTAATCTGGAATAGTCTTTTTATAAATATTCAGACAATGAAAAACTGCTTCTTCCTTGTCAAAATATATTGTATTCAAAATATGCACATAAGAACTTTCATAAGAACTAACTTAATGAAGCCCGCCTTGCAGGCATTAAAAATCGCACGGATGTGCGGGATGCCTGTGTTCAATTACAACCTCGTACCACTTAATGTCCACTTTGTTTTTTCTATGAACGACCATCAAATGATAAGTACGACTGTCTACGGAATCGAAATTTGCGACAGCGCCACTCTTTCTTTATTGTACGCTGAAGTTGACTGCAACAAGAAACGGATGTAGCGAAATGCATGTACTAAAAAGCATGTACTAAAACTACAATAGATTACGTTATTTACGTTGTGCTTGCAAGAAATGTCTTTTGGGTTGTCTGTCGTTCTGACTCATCTTCGCCGATTGTCGGATATACGAAAGATGACGAATATAATATGTTTGTCATTATACGTCGGACGATTCTTTAAAGTTTCTACTATTTCTGTTTTTTTTTATTTCAAGCGTTCATTAGTCCACTGTATAGAAGAGCAATTTTAAACACAAGCAGATCATGCAAGCTCACGCAGATAAATAATCGATCAGGGAGCTTATATAAGCGCTTGCAATCGACATTTAGTTTCTGAGTTGCAGACATGCACAACCCGCCACGAATATATAATGTTAAAAAAAATGGGTCTTGAAATTTCAAACTTCTGAATTTATCCACACCAAAATTTTGCAGACCTTCGCAACAGTCTGTGCCGCCTCAAAAGTAAACTTAAGATTGAATACTATTAATGCCGTACTTGAAGTATTGTGTTTTTGCTTCATCTCAAAGCCCATTCCAATTAAAACCAAAAGAACAGATATGTTGAAATTATCAAATGATATACAGGGTGATTAAAAAGGTAAAACACTTCGTAAATGCCTTCTCGTTAGGAATACACGCGAAACCGTTGAGGAAATTTTTTGGTATAATTATGTCCGTGTGTATGTGCATATTTGGTATGTGTGAATCCCAAGTACCAAATATATAGGACGAAATAACTCCTGTGTGTGTTAATCAGTGTAGTTTATAGCTCTCAAATATTTTCAGCAATCCTTTAAGACTTGGGATCGTTTGTGTATTTCTGCATGCACATTTATAGTCTGTCCATTTTAGAATATATATAAACCTGAATACTGAGTCTACTCAAATACTGAAACTCTATTAAAACCGATGAATATATGCCGTTGGAAAATATATTCGGCAGGATTGCATTGAGCCAGAATTAGCCAAATGTAACTTGTTACGTTATGCGTTAAAAATTCTCCTCATAAACTGGAATCATGCGGTATATAGATAAAACTTTAGACATCGCAAGTGCAAAGGTTTGAACCGTTTGATAAGCTTGTATTGATATATAGAAGTGATTCTGTTTTGTAGAAGAGTGGAGAAAATGTGAAACACAAAGTCGCTGCAAATCTATTTGAATATAACAGTCGACTAAGCATGTATAGGAATTTATATTTCTTACTGTGAAGGACTTGCCTTGCGATTTTCAGTCCAGGATAGTCCAAAGCGACGGAAGGACATCATTGTATTGTAGCTACACACAGCCAAATTGTAATTTAAAACAAGAAGGTCGTGAAAAGCGATTGTATTATGAAAACATGTCTGTACGATAAGAATTCCTTTCATTAAATGATCTGTCGACAGAGGTTCCAAACGTTTTTGATTGAATTTGAATATTTGATTACCACGCATGCATGCACGTTTTCAATATAACGCACCAATGGTTTAACATGCTAACAATTCTTTCAATGCTTTTCGTTATTCAGATACGAACAAAAGTTTAACCAATTACAGCCGAGGTATGCTCCTGATCATTAAACAAATGTAAATATAAATGCGTATAAATTTTTCATTACAAATTCCTCTTCTTCACGGAATTTAGAGTTGAAGTCAAGTTTATTCTGCGCATCGGTTCTGCTCATAACAATCTGAGAAAACTGTCATGTAAAGATCGTCCAATTTCATACATTTTTTCCGGATTTTTCTGAACATAAACTCAAGTTTGTATTGATGCATTTAGAAGCGAAACGAACTCATGTTGTTAGATATTCAGACAACACAACGTAGTGAAAAAAGTATCAAAGTTCAAAATGTAAAAAAAACGTTTGTTAACAGGGACCGAGTCTTGTTTTAATGTTTTGGGTTGTAGAAACGGAATTCAGCGCATTCATCGCAAGAAATCTAGTTCGATATTATAGTAAGTGTTAAGCCCGCCGCACACGTGAGCTATTAGCAGAGCTAAACTAAAGATCATGCGAGGCTGTTAGCTCAGCAAGTTATTCTTGTGTGCGGATAGTTTTTCGTGAGGAATTCGCCTCGAGAATTCGGCGGGCTTAAGCAACCCCCGCCAAGTGCTTTTACATCACGAAATCCAGTTCAAAAGCTAGGTTTGGGTTGTGGAGTGAAAACGGCTTGTGTGTCCAAAACATTGTCGCCGACAAAGATCTTAGCAGCATGCAAAACGTTCGATTCAGTACCGAATTCTAGATCTAATTTATAAATTAGCAATTTGACATGCGCATTTTGCCCATGACAAAAGGTTTTTTAAAGATTCAGGACAAAGGAGCTCTTGCAAAGTGTGATATTCAAGGTCTCGATCCTAACTTCATACACCATATTTACGTCTAACAAACGAAAATTGAGACATCGTGCACCCCAGCCCCCCCGCTCATCTACCATGACGTCTACACAATCAATTTTGTAGTAAAAATCTAATAATATAAAATACGTTACATAGGAAATGATGGTCTGGAAAGAGCAATTACACGTCTTTTGCACATATATGATATATATGACCTGGTAAAAGTTTTTTCAACTTAACATATTAACTTTGCATGCATTATTTCCAAAACTATGCTGTATGTATTGATTTTCCTCAAATCAATGTCAACGACTCGTACGTCTAAGGGCCTGTTCATATGAGCCGGGCCAGCCCGGTTGAGCCGGGCTAGCTCGCTTTTGCTGTTTTCATATGAGCCCGTTAAAGGCGAGATCTCGCTTTGTTCAGGCGAGATCTTGCCAAAGCCGGGCTGGCCTGGTTCCATATGAATGCAATTTTACAAATAAAGTAAAATAACATGTGAGGCGAGATCCCGCCACTGCCGTGCTAGCCCGGCTAAACCGGGCTGGCCCGTCTCATATGAACAGGCCCTAACTGAATACACATCAATTTACGTTTATAACACAACAATTTTAGATTATCTAAACCTTAGCTTATAATAATATAAAATAATGGCTATAGATACATGGAAAAAATTTGGAAAAACTTACTATATCAAGCCCTGAATATTTTGCATGCAATGACGACTTTAAACGACATTGGAAAGAAGTCGATAGCGGTTGCAATTGACAAGTAAATTTGAAAGTTTGATAAAGAAAGATTTTCATTTTTTTTAGAAATATTTTGGATATATTGGAAATGATTTTAGTAAAAAGAGGTGGAAACCCTGAAATATTTCCATGATATCAATTACATATGGTGTAAATGATACAAAGCGCTGAAATATATAATACTTTTTTTGAGTATATTTGCATATTTCGAGTTGTTTTTACAAACAGAAGAAACCAGATAAAGTGTAAGCGCATCAATTTCAAACCTTCGCCATCGAAAACTAAAACGAAAAATTTGATCAACTAAATTCGTACACATGATTCAATGTCGTTTTAGAGTCGATGAAAGTTGATTACATAGTGGCGTAACGCCCAGGTCGTTAGCCCAGAGACTAGTGTCGCCATTGGTGTATAGTGTCGCCATTATGTCTTGATGGTGTAAGACATAATTACTGGCAAACAGCACCACCACTGTACGAAATGTACCTAAGAACACCACTTTAGGGTTGTTTTCCACTGTCGCTTTTTTTTGTACGTATATACGTATACGCACGTAAAAGTTTCAATTCATTTAAATGATACTTACGAGATCAACGATTGATTAGATGCTTTGGGTTGGATTCTGTTGATGATTTGGGTTTTTTTCTGGCATAGAATTATTTATACAACAAATTGGAAAGTTTTAAACTTTACATGCGCGTACGCACGTGCAAAAAACGCGACAGTGGAAAGCAGTTCTATGAAATATATAAGCTCTCAAATATCAGGAATGATCAAACATTTCTACCGAACGCAGGACGACGTCATTATTCAGCAGGTTTTTATTGCAACGACATTCCGTCGTATTTTAACAAAGAAATGAATATTTGAAAGTGCACCGTTTTCCTAAAAACCCGACACACTAATTCTTTTCACAATAAATAAATTATATTTTTAGTTTACGACTGTCGTCCCACATTCGTATATTCACTTCCGTAAAAGATCCCTCTTGTCTAACTAAGGTTGCGGTGATAATTTCCATAAAGTCGAGAATCAAATTACCATAATTAACAAGTTATTGATAGTTAATACTTTCTTTATTATATGGCAGAGTTAAATGGCGCACCTGAATGACCGATAATAACAGAATTATTTCACAAAGCCCACAGGGGTTTAACTGGTATTTTTTATCGCTTTTTGAGGCTTACAATCACAAAAACGTTAAAATTCAAACAATTTGTTTCACAAAAAGTAAAATTGTAAAAGAATTTAAGAGCGAGAAGCAATTTGAACGCGAATTTCATAATTCGGAAATTGAAAATGAAGAATGCGAAACTACTTTTATCATTTTCACACAGTTCAGAGCGACGCAGGGCGGATTTAGTGTAAGTGAAAATAAATTACAACAGCTCACTTTTAGGAATATATTAAGATTCTAAAATATCTTAAAGATGATTTCATTGGTGGATATTATAGTTCTAAAATATTCTTTGGAAACCCCTGACCAATAGCATCGTTACTTAGGTAGCCATTTTGAATTTGAAATTATACTTCAATAATTCATTTTCACTTACGACGACACGATGGCCATTGACAATATTATTTGAAATAAATCATGTCATATAATAAAAACGTAGCTACTAACATCGACCACACAAGCTGTACTAAAAAATATCAAACACGAAACTATGAAACCTTGCTCGGTTTTTCATATTTTCCAGTACAGTGAAAAAGGTCGTAGCCATGCAAGGTCGTTGTTAGCAATCGTATTTCATATCTAATATTGCATTTTATGACCATTATATGATATTATTTATGACAAACAATCCGAACTTTTAACTCGTCAAAATTAACCCTTTAACTTCTGTATTTCCTGTGCTTCCACTATCAATTATCATCTTAACTGCATAATTGTTATTATTATATCATTATCCATAGGAAGTTATCATACAAGTTAAATAAATCACTCGGTATTTTGAAAAAAACTCAGCAGTGACTCTAAATGACATTAAAAGCTCTTATTTCAAAGGTTTCTAACCTAGAATTCAGATACAAAGTTATTTGTAATTACTGTTTTTAATAATTATCATGGTTAATCAATTTAATATTTTTAATATTTAATATATTTTAAAGAGAATGGTTTGTAATGATTTATGTTGAAATATGAAATTAATTCCCATTGCTGCGTCAAGCTAATTAAACTGTTTTCATACAACTAATTGTTATTCATGTAATCAAATTATAAAATAGCTACCAATACAAATTCGGAAGTGTTCTTTCAATGAACAGTTGAAATAATTAAAACTTTCTACAGGATACAAAACACTTTACCGTTATATAAATGCAATGTATAAATGCGTGCGTGTTCTGCGTGAAACGTTTCTCAGTCAACGACTGCAGATTACAATACTGTCACTCGACTTCTGTTAAATTCTAAACCAGTGTTTGAGACAACGAAAAAGTCAAAAGCAATTGATTATTACTGGTAAGTGTTGCAGTGTTTCAAAATATTGTGATTTATTGTCAGGGTTTCATTTTCCACGAGTGATTTCAGCGTTTCTGCTAAATGGTGGTTGAAATAGATGTTTCAGAACCTTTATCACTATCTGAATGACTGTGCCATAATGGAATAAAATATCAAAAAGCCTTCCACAAATTTTTGCACGTGTCTAGTCTCACCTGATCATAACCCAAGGAACTACGAGGCGTAGTGCCTCTTTGAGTTTTTCACGTTGCCCAAAATTTTGGTGGCCTAAAACGTCTTAAGTTGTATAAATTTGGCAGCACAACAGTTAAAGTTTCTGCACCGGCCTCGGTAATATAAGAACAAAATAAATCAAGTTTTTTCAAAAAACTCAACGATCCTATTGCAGTCATTAATTGTTGCTCTCCTTTGACTTGGGTAAACTTTATACTTCTCAACGACAGCGTTTCCAAAAGTTTCATTGCTGGTAACGCCTCAGTTAGAGCGTGTATCACAACTTGGGTAGAATTACGCCAAACGTTGTTTAAAGAAAGTTTCTTTAGAGATCTTATTTCAAGTAATAAAGCAAACAGCTGCTTTGCATTGTCTTTATTTAAGTTAACCCGTTTCAACTTAATCTTCTTGAGTGACGACAGTGACGCAATAGGCAATAAGTATTTAACAGAAGTTTCATCGGCATGTAGAGTCAACTGTCTTAAATGCCTTAATTTTCCTAAATATTGATATGGCTCTTCCTCTACACTTAATCTATAACACGAAATGTTTAGCTTTTCCAACAAGTAGAATGATCGCGAGCCATTAAATAAAGTTTGTTCATTTATATCAAAATTTTGTAAATGAAGTTTCCTTAAATATTTCAACTCCCCCAGTAAAAGTGAGAGTGACAATGTCTCTTCATTATCATCGAACGAATCTAATCCTAGCGTCTCCAACAACCTCAGTGACGGTAAGACCTCAACTAAATCTGGGCTAACAAAATTATCATATATAAAAAGCTGTTTTAAATATTTTACTTTTACTAAAGAATGAAATATTTTTTCTTCATATCCAATATTATTATGCACAAACCAAGATTCGCAACCAGACCTGAGCATTAATCGCTCCAACAATGGCAGTGACGCTAAAACCTCAACTATGGCTTCTCCACTAAAAATACCAGATAATCCAAGTTCTCTTAAATTCTTCAACTTTCCTAATGCGGTCATGACCAGTTGTATTTCGCTTCTATAATCTCCATCTTCATCTTCATCTTCATCATACCATCTACACGTCAGATCAGACACTAGTTTTTCCAATAACTGCAGTGATGATAACATTTGAGCTAAAGCTTTCAAAGCATTTCTAGCATTTTCATAGTCACCGAAGTAAAGAACGAGTTCGAGATCTCGCAAATACATCAATCTTCCTAACGCGGAAAACAATTTATCAGATGAACAACAATATTTACATTCCAACACAAACCTTTCCAACAAATGTAGTGATGGTAACACTTCAGCTAAATGGTTTATACACTTTGGGTTGTTACGGTCCCCAACGTTTAACTCCCCAACCTTTAAGCTAAGTTCCTTTAAATATCTGATTTTCCCCAACCCAGAACACAGTTGTTTTGTATCTACACCACCTTTAAAACAAATACCTAGCGAATGTGGTTTCCACTCTTTTCGGAACTTTTTAGCCCAATGAAGATTGAGAATTCTTAAAGATTTCAACAAAACTAACGCATCAATTAGTTTTTTATGGTCGATTTGGTCAACACATATTCTCGCTAAAACTAGTTCTTCCAAAGACAAAAGAGACGAAAGCATGTCAACTAATGCATCTACATCAGGTAATTTTACGCCACTGAGGTCAATAATTTTAATATTGGGTAAAGGCTTTATAGCACTAAAGATTTTTTCAATGTTCGAGTCTACAACTGTATGAGCTAAAGATATCTCTTCCAACATCGAAAAAGACGACAACATTGCGGCTAATGCCTCGACATCACACGCTCTTAATCTCATGTCAATAAGGTAAAGTTTTCTTAGATTCTTAAGTGGTAACATTTTAACAAAGAGCTTTTCGCTATGAATAATATTACTGATAATAAGCTCTTCCAACGACGGAGGAAATAACAGGGAATTATCAAAAGCATTGGCATCAACCTGATTGCCAGACAAATTCAGATATTTCAACACTTTTAGCGAAGCAAAACTATTCCACAACACATTTAAATCACTTCCCGTCATAAATGATTGACCAAGGTCTAACCCCTCCAACAAGGGAAATCCTTTCAACAAGTTCGCAAGTGCTCTTGTCCAATCTGAGTCAATAGCATTCATGCTTAAATCGAGATACCTAAGATCTCTTAAGGATGCGAGTGAGTTTGAGATTTTCCCCAAATCTTTACCATTCATATGTGTGTTACTTAGCCTCAACTCCTGGAGATTTTTGAACGAAGCTAAGATCTCTTGCAAAAGATCTGAAGCTCCTTCAGGATTGTTGCTTAAATTCAACTTTTTTAACTGCGTTAAGTTTGACAATGCTGATTGGAGTTGACGAAAGTCGTCCAACACAAGATTATTGGACGATAAATTGAGTTCTTCCAGTTCTTGCACCAAAGAAAGTAGGAACGCCAAACCATCCACAGCAACACAAACATCAGTATTAGCCAAACTTAATACTTTCAAATGCTTAATTCTTACACTTAATGAACACAACGACCAAATTGAATTGCATATGTGATTGGAATCTAAGTAAAGTTTCGTCAAGTTTGACTTAATTAAGAAGCAAAATTGGCTGATGTCTTCGGGTGTCATGTAATTGAAAGATAGTGAAATGTTTTTCATGTTAATTGGCAGCTTGTTGAGTTGTGTGTTGAAATTGGGCAACGGGGAAAATCTAATGTGGTTGTGAGAGAGGTTTATTTCTTCGAGTGACTGCAGTTTACAGATCTCAATGATGCATGTGTTTCCCTGGAGTGCGCTGTGCGATAAATCTAATGAAACAATGTGATTTAATTGTCCGTGTATCTCGAATACGCTTAGGTTATTTTTAGATAAGTCTATGTGTTTAAGATTTTTTATGGACTGTAATGAAGCCATCAAACCGAACGTTTCTTCTTTAGTTAAGCAATTATCAGATAAAAACAATTTTGTTAAATTGCTGCAATTCATAAGTACGCCTATAAAACTATAGATACCATTTTTTTCGAACTTAGTACGACATAAATCTAATTCCTGCAAACTATTTTCGCTGCGAAAGCATCTGACTAGAGCAGAAATATCCTCACAATTTACGATATTATTAATAATACGAAGGATCTTTAGACAAGAGGGCAAAGAATAAACACTCAGAACTTTGTGTACCTCACACCTGGAGTGAATTTCTATCGTGTGAATTTCAACTGTGGATTCTTTCAACCTCTTCAAGAGGAGATCATCATCCAGAACTTCCAATGATATCGTGAGTTTCTTAGTTGATTCAACATTTTCAAGAAACTTCTGAATTCTTACTATAAACAAAACGGGTTTGTTTGAGGAATATTTAGATATTTTGACAGTTTGTGCAAAAATATCTCTGAAAGTAAGGTTGACTCACATTCGTTTGGTTCTTCTGGTTGGTTGACGTGTCCCTGAAAAGAATGATAATAAATGTACAGGTATAAGGAACAGTATCAAGTACTAAACCATACAAGGAGATATCATGCCAATATACCGTTTTAATAATGCATTGACGCGCATTAAATGTCTTTTAATAATAGCGATTTTAATAATACCGTTTTAATAATGATTACTTTAATATTAGGTCTGCTTCCACTGTCGCGTACACGCACGTAAAAATTTAAATCATTTAAATGATAGTTCTGAAATCAACGATTGAATAGATGGTTAGTATGTTTTTTCTGGTATAAAATTTATTATACAACATCTTAATTAGAAGGTTTTAACCTTGTACGCGCGTGTACATACGTGGAAAGAACGCGACAGTGAAAAACAGCTGAAATAACTGAAAACGTTTCAAGACGAACCTTACTCTTTCGTTCCAAGTCTATTTAAAAAGCATCATCATTACGTATAACTCAGCTATATGATAGTGTAAAAATATTCATACCTGCACGTTTGAACTATCAACACTACTGAATGGGGATTTCGCATTTTGTTCTTGCTGCATCGCTGCATCCACCAATATATTTAAGTCCAGAGATTCCAATGATATGAGTGGAGGTAGAGCAGACGAAGTTAAGACAGGATTCTGTGAAGCAAGCAACATTGCTTCCCCAGGCGTTCTCCATGGTGAATAGAGATCTTGCTCAACAACGGTTTGGTTAAAAGAATTTGTGCCCGGAATAGCTTGCAAAAAATTTACGTCAGAAAGTCCAATTGATCTTGAAGACTGCCCTTGCGGTGTCATTGACCCAGAACCACGTGATTCTAACTGGCCCGGGTTTACAAAATTGCCATGATTTTGAATTGCCGGTATTGCTGTATTTCCAGTAATGAAAGCAGTCGATATTGGTAACTGTCTTTGGGCTAAAACATTAGAAACTTGAGCTGGCTGACTTGGCCCGGAAATAACAGATGGCGATAAAAATTGGCTTTGTGATGCAATATTAACAGAATTTTGCAGGAATGGTGTTAATGTGATGGAAGAAACTGTAAGTGATGTTTGTAACGGCCTCTGCACCAGAATGCCACCTGGGTTTTGCGGTGTAGGAGCAAGATCAACCTGAGGAACAATCGACATGGATATTTGCCTTCGTGTTAACTGGTCACTGTTGACGGGTTGGTTTGATTCGGACTGTGAGATATTTGATGTTGATAAACGACTTTGGGAACTTGGAAGTCCAGGTGTTGCGGGAGAAACAACAGATAATGGTGGACCAAGCGTTGTGACGTTCACCGAACTGTTGTTATCCAGTGGCGTTACAGTTGACGAAGTAATGGTGGAAGTAATGGTGGACGATGATAATTGACTTTGTGTTGATGTGCTGCCAGATTGGCTTGATTCGGTTTGAACTGTTGGCATGGTAACAACTGAGGTAACGACGTCACCTGTGGTGAAGGTTGACGCAGGTTTTGGTAAGATTGGTACATAAAATTGCTGGTCACCACCAACCATACCACGCAGTCTTTTTGTGCGAGATATTCCATGGGTACAAGGAAATATCTAAAAAAATGTTGGTGTGTCGAATAAAACACAGTGCATGAATGTGTCAAATTTGGAACAGGGCTAATTCCCGTGGTGAAGTGCAACCTCGTACCAAGGGTCTTTTGCCTACGCTCCACGTGGGCCGTGGAGCGAGGTAATAGACGTGGTACAAATTCGTTGGGTTAACTGTAATTGTGAAGATCATTCATGCGTCAAACGATAAAAAGTTTATGAGGAACAAGCTTTGGTAATAAAACTAAACAAACCTATTGAGAATAATAATGCCAAGTGTAGTTCGTGTTGCAAGAAGCTACCTATCAGCTCGCTACAATATAAAAAAGCAGGGGCATTGTCTAGTACTACTTCACCTCGTTCTCAGCAATAATTCTCATATAAAGCCTTCCTTGTCCACGTTCACTGTTGTAAACATTTTCTGGAGTGTAGCATCTGAAACAGCACAATCCTGGATTCAGTTCTTCCAATGTGTTGGTTTTGTTCGCTTTCATGAACACAAAAAAGGCATTTTCCAATTTGGGATAAATTTCAATCAATTTCTGTTTAAACTGTTCATTTGTTAAGTCGAGGGTAAATTCCACCTTGTCATCTTTTATACAATGTTCTATATTAAAACACAACGAGATCAAGGTATAGGTAAATAAAGTATAATGTTAGGGGAAAAAATATATTCAGTAGAATGAACCAGGTTGTCTATACTTGTAGTTCACACCTGAAAGTTTGCAATCGCTTTAAAACATATAAATATCCGAAATAAGTCAAGTCAGAAAATATTCAAGATACACGAACTATTCTAAATAAGAATTTGCTCCGATAGCACACCATGCAGGCTATGTGAAGTTTTCTGCTACAATTAATCCTAGTTCTGTTTTTAATCAAATCTTGAATTTCAATTAAAAAAACAGTCTTTATGTAATATTCTGTAGGAATCCAATAAAAAACATAATATCCTGCACCTTTTGCAGGTGGTCCATATCCTCTTTGCATCAACGCTTCTATCCCAGTTTTTGAACAAGTGTCTTTTGTCACTTTAGTGATCACGGTGTCTGGATCAAGCAGAAATAACCTGACAGAAAGTTTGCTTGCGGGTCGTCCTCTCTTTTTTGTGTTTGGTTCACGATAATTATTGTTGGCCATAATTTTTTTTTGAACTTACACGTGAGAAGAGTACGTATATTCTTTAACGGTTGTGAAACAGTCTTAAAAAGAAATAAAACTACCGATTATAAAAACTATAGGCTTGAAGCCACTTTATAGTGGATATAAAAAACAGAACAATGCAGTTGCAGTATTTCATGCAAAAATTCCAACCCTCAGAAATAACTTTGAATCGTGAAGTGCAAACAATCGAGCTTTAAAAATAGCACAATTGTGTAGAGAAAAATTCCCAAACCCGAAGTCATCTCGCAAAGAGAAAAGACGATAAAACAAAGTTCGATAAACGATGTTTTGCAAAAATTCTCTAGTATGCGTCGCTACAGAAGTGCGCTTTTCGGACTAATCATGGTAGGATTATTTTTCGGGACAGACGTCCTGTTGCTCATACAGTATAAATGCACGGTTTACTTGCGATATTTTATATGCAGCCGTTCATTTCTACCCTCTTTCACTTTTTCGAGGCCCAGAGAAAGTTGTTTTGGTCGAAAAATACTAGTTTAATATTCGTTCGCGCGCTGAATAAAAATAAATATTCCGTCGTTTACAAGGAATAAGATAAACAAAATTCAGAACGCGCACGGACGTGAATTATACAGTTTCAAAACAGGAATAAAACGATCTTGAAGAACTTAAAAAAAGTGCTTAGTCTTTCAGTAAAAGAAGACGAAGGCAATGATATGATGTCCTTGTTACTGATAATATTGGTGTATGCTATGCGATATATTTCCGCAAACCATAAACAGTAATATGATACTGCGCTATTGTAAATGCCACATTGCCAGTGTTTTGCAATAACGCGTATCGAAATATATCAAACTGAAACACACACTAACACAGGTCCGTTTATCTACATAAATACTCAAGAAACACCATCCTTGCTGATTTAAATTGAACTTCAATGTCTTAAGAAACGACACTGGCCGTGCACATTAAGACACCAAGGCCAACATCACTATAATTCATCATGAATGCATGTGTGCGCAAAGTATCTCCGCATTGATGATAAATCAGCCTTTGCCTATATATCTGTTAACATTCAACTTGTGCTACGATCAGTTCAGACATCAAATGTATGCACTGAATCTTCTTTTAATACTCTTTTATTTAAGGGATCTTGCTAAACAAGAGTGATATACTGTTTCGTTGAGTTATGTTTAAAGTGCAATAAGACACCACTTTTAGATACTTTAATTAAGAGCACTGGAATAATTAATTATGTTTAGAAATATGATAGCTTAACAGAGATGACGCAGCTCTAGGCGCATATAATTCACGCAAGCACATGGGACAGAGATATTATTGTTTGTAGCCTAAAATAAATGCTAACCTAAGAAACGCTAACCTGATAAATGCTAATCGGTAAAGATTACAGTGTAAAAGGCTTGGATTCGTGAACAGAAGTAAGTTAAGATTAACATTTAGTATTATTATTTGTATTCGCTTGTTATTATTAATTTTAGACATATTTTATTACATATTGTATTACTACACATTTAGATCGAATAAAACTTATACGATACGCAAATCCAGCCTCCTGTTTGGTTAAAGTTCTGGCGAACCATATACGAATCTTTGAAATCGACTTTATAGCCGCGCAAAGAACCGCACCATGAAACAGAAAGTCGGAACAAAATTCAATACTTTCTTCGACTTTGGCGATCCATCTTTTCGTTAGGAACATATGTATAGATATTTAATAATTTTGATGAATACTGGCTTAGTAGGGACTGTAAGAAACGCAGTTTCTTCGTCGACGAAGCTACTTAACACTAGTATTTTTACGCCATGCTAAGAATCGGTACTCTTTTCTACGTCACAAACCACAATATGGCGGAGCAAAAGTTCGCACAGGAAGTGGCAAAAATCGCGACTTTGGAGAGCTATAAAAATCTTTTGAGAAAGCCAATTTTGATTCTGTTTTCAGAAATGAAATCAAGAAAGTGAGCACTTTAAATTGAGCCAATAAAAAAGGGGTCGAAAATTTCGTTGCAGTAGCACTTTAAGCCGTAAGTAAAACAAATCAAAACTGGGTTTCTAAAACTAGCTGCTGTTTTCATGTCACGTCCGCGTCGTAGATTTAATGGATCTTCAACCCACTAATCTGTTTTGCTGCATAACGCGCGCCATCATGAATTACTTCAACACATATTTGTCTTCATGAAGCCACACAAAATCTACAGTCTCCACAACATTCACTGTTTTGACAGTGACGTAATGTTAATAAGGTATTATTGAATCAGATACTATTCTATAAGGTATTGAATCAGATACTATTCTATAAGGTATTGAATCAGATACTATTCTATAAGATATTGAATCAGATCCTATTTTATAAGGTATTGGATCAGATCCTTCTATAAGGCATTGGATCAGATCAGAATCGATGAAACTTTGCAATAACACTCGATTGATAGCGCTTGAGTTCGATATAATCGTCGAATCCTGTGCTGTGCAGACTATCACTAACACAACCACACAAGCCAGGCTTTCTACCAACGCTTCTCACTAACATTTCGACATCAATGATAATTGTGACATCTTCCATGTCGCAAATTCAATATTGATCAGATTTGCGGGTTTATATTACGCTCGAGAAACGAATTGTTTGTTGTTTAAATTGTCGTGACAATCGGGCGATATATATTTCTCATATTACAACTCCAAGAATATATATCTGTATAAATGCAGTTTGGTAGCAGGACAGGAAACTAGAAATCTAGCGATGTAGTATTGATACAAAGGAGGTTGTATGAAATTTCATATTCCTTACGGTAAAGAACATACCTTGCGACTTTCACTGTGAAATGTGAAAATATCTCAAAATGACGACACGACATCAGCTTACTTGATCTTGGCACAGCCAGGAAGTGTAATTTGAAGCAATCCATTACCCAAATATGATCATCCTTGAGGGCAGTAGCATCTTTGTGATTGGTTACATTCTGTTCCGTTTGTCAACCCCAAAAATACGCTTATAACACTAAGCGTTATATAATACTAGAGCTAGTTATTTCTTTCAATTTATGACATAACTCATAAACAAATCAGTTTTAAACGACACTGATATTCACAACCTGGGGTACACAATCACATTTGAATCTGTTACATAACATGTATGTTACAGTATATGGTTTAATCTGGAATAGTCTTTTTATAAATATTCAGACAATGAAAAACTGCTTTTACCTTGTCAAAATATATTCTATTCAAAATATTCACATAAGAACTTTCATAAGAACTAACTTTATAAAATAACATGGTTGAAGCCCGTGTTTGGATCAGGCCATCCAAACACGGAAATTTCGCGGGAATTTAAAAACAAATTTATTATGGTTTGTTATTTTATAAAACAATTACTTGATGGTTTCCGTGTTTGGATGATCTGATCCAAACACTTGGGAATGTTGCTCGAGTTAAGAAAAGCTCGCAAAACACTTGCCTTCGGCTCGTGTTTCGCGCGCTTTTCTTAACTCTCGCAACATTCCCGCGTGTTTGGATCAGGCCATCCAAACACGGAAACCATTAAGTAATTGTATATTATGAAGCCCGCCTTGCAGTCATTAAAAATCGCACGGATGTGCGGGATGCCTGTGTTAACTTGCAAGAAATACATGTCGTTCTGACTGATCTTCGCCGATTGTCGGATATACGAAAGATGACGAATGTAATATGTTTGTCACTATACGTCGGACGATTCTTTAAAGTTTCCACTATTTCTTGTATTTTTTTATTTCAAGCGTCCATTAGTCCACTGTATAGGCGAACAATTTTAAACACAAGCAGATTATTGAAGCAGTGCACACGGATAAATAATCGACCAGGGAGCTTATATAAGCGCTTCCAATCGACATTTAGTTTCTGAGTTGCAGACATGCACAACTCGCCATGAATATAAAATGTTAAAATTTCAAACTTCTGAATTGATCCACACCAAAATTTTGCAGACCTTCGCAACAGTCTGTGCCGCCTCAAAAGTAAACTTAAGATAGAATACTATTAATGCCGTACTTGGAGTATTGTGTTTTTGCCTTATTTCAAAACCCATTCCAATTAAAACCAAAAGAATAGATATGTTGAGATTATCAAATGATATACAGGGTGATTAAAAAGGTAAAGCACTTCGTAAATGCCTTCTCGTTAGGAATACACGCGCAATCGTTGAGGAAATTTTTTGGTGTATGTCTGTGTATGTGTATATTTGGTATGTGTGAATCCCAACTACCAAATATATAGGACGAGATAACTCCTGTGTGTGTTAATCAGTGTAGTTTAAATCTCTCAAGTATTTTCAGCAATCCTTTAAGACTTGGGATCGTTTGTGTATTTCTGCATGCACATTTATAGTCGGTTCATTTTAGAATATATATAAACCTCAATACTAAGTCTACTCAAATACTCAGTGAAACTCTGTTAAAACCGATGATTATATGCCGTTGGAAAATATATTCGGCAGGATTTCATTGAGCCAGAATTAGCCAACTCTAACGCCTGTATTCTAAAAGCTCACTCACACTCAAACTCATTGAGTGGGAGATCTTAATCTTCTCATAACGTTTCAATGGCGGTATTTCGAGCCGAATAGGAGCTTGATTTTCAGTGATTTACCTTATATCTTTCCATCTATTCAGAGAAAACTTTCTCATTGATCAGCATTGACAAAATTTATATGTCACACTCAATGAGTGTGAGTGTGAGTGAGCTTTTTGAATACAGGCGTAACTGTTGTAATGTTATGCGTGAAAAATTCTCCTCATAAACTGGGATCATGGTATATAGATAAAACTTTAGACATCGCAAGTGCAAAGGTTTCAACCGTTTGATGAGCTTGTATTAATATATAGAAGTGATTCTGTTTTGTAAAAGAGTGGAGAAAATGTGAAACACAAAGTCGCTGCTGCAAATCTATTTGAATATAACCGTCGACTAAGCATGTATAGGAATTTATATTTCTTACTGTGAAGGACTTGCCTTGCGATTTTCAGTCCAGGATAGTCCAAAGTGACGGAAGGACATCATTGTATTGCAGCTACACACGGCCAAATTGTAATTTAAAACAAGAAGGTCGTGAAAAGCGATTGTATTATGAACACATGTCTGTACGATAAGAATTCCTTTCCTTAAATAATCTGTCGACAGA